GGCGAAGTTCAAGCCTTACACTTGAATTAGGAGGGATTTTGAACTTTCTGGGGATCTGTACGAGGCTGGCCCCCTAGAGGACAATGACACCCGCCCACATGCAACCCAAATCCTAGATTACCCCCAGGCATGGGCTGGGCGTTCTGCCACCCCACGGCCGCCAGGCTGGCGCGGCCTCTTTCCCGGGCCCTCAGCTCCCCTGTCTCGCCGGCTGCCTGGATGGCACCTCCACGCCTGCCCAGGTGGTAGCTCCCTGCGCCGGCCTACCGTAATTCCCCTATGTATCGTGCCCGCCGCTGGCGCACAGGCGGCTGAGCCCTCCTGGGGTCTGGTCCCCCCTCGCTCATCGCACCCCCTGGAAGTTTTGGCAGCCTTGGCTGAGAGCCATCCACAAGCAAAGAAACCCTGAGGTGAGTCTCACGGGAAAGTGCGGAATGGGGCCCCGGACAATAACCGGTCTGGGCGCCAGGGTACCCTTGAATTAATGGGCAGAATCTAGAGTGGAGAGCCTCACGCAGTTCAAGACCTAAGTGTGCGCCAAGCGTCTGTACCTCCATTTACTTTCCGATGTAATGAGCTCTAGATCCTACTTCTGCCCCAGTGACTATAGGGTAGAGTTAGCTTGGTGATGTGGCCCTTAACTCTGGTATGAGATTGTTACAGGGCGGAGGATTCCGGAGGGGCCTTGTCGCGGGGGAGACATTGTGATTCTGGCAGCCAAATGTCAAGATAGAAAGTTCCCTTAGTGCCAGCAGGGGGCGCGAGAAGGCTGTGCCTCGGGCAGTCTGGGCTGTGCACCACTGGCCCTGGAAAAGTCCAAATCTACCACAATGGAAGATGAAGACATGAAGCCCCAGTAAACGTCTTCAGGTTTGGGGGTTCTGTGGACGTTCTGCTGTTCACCTACCCTGTGGCTGGGTTTCAGGCTTGCTGTAGGATTCAGCAACCATCTGTAGATGTAAACTTCCAGAAGACAGGCCACTGCTGTCTTTGCACAAAGGGGACATTGAGGCTTAGTGAAAAGAGCAGTCTCCATTAGGGGTGGTGCATTTGTGCAGAGGTCACAGATGAGGTGATGGTCACATATCCCGGCCTCTCCCTCTCCCTAGTGCTGGGCTCCTGCCTTTTTGTATTCTTTTGTACCAAGGAGGCCATGTCCCATGTGGTGGCCAGGCTGGGAGAGTTCTCTGCAGCCCTGAAATCTGCCAGGCACGGGGAAGGCCTCAGGGCAGGATCTGTCTCTTGGTAGGCATTGAGAACCCCCAAGACGAGAGTTGAAGCCTCAGGGTCAGGAGAAGTTGGGTGGGCATTTGGCCCTTCCCCAGATCAGAGGGAGGAGGAGGTGGAGCAGCCTGGTGGAGCTGGCAACGCCCTGGCAGGCCTGCCCCCACATGTAGCCTCAGCCCTGGATCTAGAAGGTGCTGGGTGGGGCCTTGGACCCAAAGGCTCCCTGGGAATTTAGACCTGGTGGAGAGCCCCTGGGCAGGGCTGTCCCTAAAGCCAGGGAGTCTCATTTTTGATTCCAGGTCAGTCGGCTGCCAGTCCTGAGACCTTGTCTTAGCCCTTCCTGAACAGGGAGCCGCTCTCCTATCCCAGAGTAGGTGACAGTCCCAACTCATTGTGGGGGAAGGGTTGCCCACAGGCCTCTGCTTCTCTGGGATGGGGGAGGTGGCATTGTTGGGAGGGGGTACTGCCTTGGAGACTCCATTATTCATCAGCTCCAGCATCTGGTTTCTGGGTATCAGTTTCAACAAGCCAGCCCTGACTCATGAGCCTGGAGCTGGGGCTGGGCTGGGGAGGGGCCCTTCCCCAGGGAGTCAGGGGATGGGACCTTTGGGTTTACTCTTGAGCTGCTAAACCTCCATAGAGCAAGGAAGGAAGGAAGCCAGGAGGAGCCAGCCAGCAGGCACAGGAGGGTGCCTTTCCTTCTACAGGCTCCTGGCCCCTAAAGGAGCAGCCCCTACCCTGGCCTGAGACCTGGACTGCAGCCTGACTCAGAGATGACAGTGTGCAATGGGGATTACAATACCCTGGTGACCTAGTAGCCTGTCCTGGCAGTTTTCTTTGGTGCAACCCTTTCACCCCACCAAGGGAGTTTGGAGATTTGTCCCCCAAAAGTCCTAAAGGCCCTGCTCAAGCCACCAGTTGGCCAGGTCTTCACACCCCCTTTACCATGGCACAGACATAGTGTCTAATACAGAAGACATCTGTTCCTCCCTTCCTCAAAAGTGGCTTTGAAAAAAAAAAGTGGCTTTGCAGAAGGTTACCTAACCTCTATAAATCTCAGTTTCTTCAAGTGCCCTTTTTAGGGTCTTTGAAAAGAGTGAGTGGGACTGGACTTGCTGCCCACAGCTTCTGGGCCAGGTCTGGCCCTTGGGAGTGTCCCGTGGTAAAGCAGCTGCCAGGACTCAGACTGGCCAGCCTGGGGGCAGCAGCAAGGGAGTCAGGGCAGGAGCAGCAGTATTTGAAATGGAAACTGACCTGCCTAAATTAGCAGATTCAAGGACTCTAGGATGTATACCTTTAGTCCTCCTCTGCCTTAAGATGACCTAGGGAACGAAGCCTGCTTAGTGGAGTGGCCTTGGGGGGAGGGATTGTACTTTTCAAAGAGAAGAGTGAACTGGGGGTGGGGGGACAGGGAGAAAAGTGCAACAATGAATGAATGGAAATCCAAAGCCTCTGCAAACTTTGATTAAAAATTAATAATAATAATAATAATAATAATAATAATAAATACAATATACAGAAGCAGAAATAAAAGATGACCTAGGGAGTTGCACTGCTTACCCAAAGGTCACGACTTTCTTATTGTTAGGATCTACCAGAGTCTCCTCAGGAGAAAGTTGGTCAAACTTCCTTCACCTGTATGGTTTACCACCTTGGAAGCCCAGTGGAGGGTCAGCTATGATTCAGTTCTGAATTGACAGCAATGACTTTGGTAGCCCTCTACCCCCCATCGCTGTCTTCTCTCATCCTTCCATGGATGTGACCTGCACTGAACACTTCCTGTGTGCCAGCTGTGATCTGATTGCTGAGGATGTCTTGTGAGTGGTACAGACAAGGCCTCTGTCTTCAGAGGAGGACATTCCAGCAGGGAAGAATGAGGAGTAAGAAGGGAATGAATATATTATTACATCTCAGAAATCCCAAGAAGATCATTCATTCACCTGAAGGGGTGGAAGGGTAAGGAGCTGTTTGTTTTTGTTGAGGAAAAGCAGAAAGGCCTCCTTGAGCAGGTGACATTTCAGCTAGGTCCTGGTGATAGCCATCTGACCACCAGGGATGTGGGGTGCCCTAGGTAGAGAGAATGCAGAAGCAAAGGTCCTGAGGTGCCTGAGTTTGGTGTGTGGTAGGGTCTGGGTGATCTGAGCTGGGTCTTTATTTTAAGCAAATGGGAAGGCACTGGATAGTTTTCCCAGAGAAGGGAACTGAGCCAGTTATTAGTTTATAGAACATCTGCTTGCTGGTGTGTGGACAGTGGGTGAGCCCCAGTGTGGGACCGTAGGGCCCCTCCCTCCTCCTACAGCATCTTCAGAGATATCTCTGTGCCCCACCTCTGTCAAGGTGAACCAGATATAGAAGGAGCAGTCTGCTCAAGGAGTGGGTATGTTAGAGACGTGATGCTCCCTCTTCCCTCTGGGTGCTCAAACCAGGCCATTCCTGAGTCCTACAGTCAGAAGTCTGGGGCTCAGTACTGCCGCTGGGTCACTTGATATCATTTTCCCTCCATGTGATGAAGGAGGATAATAATTCTTGCATACCCCTGCCTCCTCCCAAGAAGGTAAAATCGCATTGACAACTTTACTGGGAAGACACCCTAATCCCAGCTCAGGTCAGCTTTCTCTCAAGCTTGGCTGAGCGCCCCCTGGTGGTGGGCAGTATGGAAGGTCACCTGGGGCTGAAGTGCAGAGGGATCTGCCTGGAGCAGCAGGGAACTCTGAGAGGTGTGGGTTTCCTCCCACGATGCACCACCAACAGGTCTTGTCTTATGTCAGCCAATAACAAGATCACTGGGCAGCGCCCCACTCCAGGTTCCTATTATGCCTGGGCGGTGAAGGGGGATCACTTGAGTTGAGGCTGAGGGGGCTTCTGGCAGAGGGGCAGAAGAGGGCATCTGGGAGGCAAACATTTGGTTGGGGTCTGGAGGGAAGTTGAAGTCTGAGCTGAGAGGGGTTCCCCAAGGCTAGGGAGACTGGGATAGGGTAGTGTGTGCCCCTTCCCCTACCCCTCTGGCCTCCACCATTGGCCTGGATTGAAGTTCTGAGGCAGGGGTCTCCAGGGCTGTGGGAAGTGGGCTAAGATGCCTCTCTGGCCAGGAGCGACCCTCTGAGCTCTTGACTGGTATTTGAGACGTGGAGTCAAAGCAGAAGTTTTGGTGGACAGGGGGCTCGCTTTAAAGTCCTGATCAGCATGGCAACCCCAGCCAGGGTGGTGAAGGGGGGTCCAGAGGTTGCATCACAGGGTTGTGTGTGGGCTCACCGTTCAGTGCGCCCAGCTCCTTCCCCACTCTTTCTCTGCCTGTACTTCGGAGTCATGGGGAGAGCAGGTCTAGGAGGGACTTTTCTGGAGACCCTGAAGTTAGTGCTGAGGGAGGCGCTTCCGGGGCTTGGCGGGGAACGGGGGTCCACTATCGCAGCAGGGTGAGGTGTGCCATCGGCTCAGCGCGCTCATTTCTCTGCACCCCAGACTTTATGTTCGCAACTTGTCCCCCCAACCCCCACCTTGGCATTCTGGGAGCAACCCGAGGCGGGAGCAGGTCTAGAGGGACCCTCTCCGCCTCTAGGGTTGAAGTGGAAACTTGAGGAGTGGGTGAAGGGTGGTTGCCCTGCCCGGCGAGGTCGGGGACTTGCAGTCCGAGGAGAGGAGGCGTGTCCCCCAAGGGCGCCCCCGCGGGGTCCGGGCGCGCTCGGCCTGGGGCGGGTGCGGCTGCACAATGGCAGGAAGCGGGGCTCAGCGCTTTGTCCGGCGGGCGGCGCAGACCGCTGCTTCCTCCGGCCGCCATGGGGACCGGCCCCGGCGTCTCCGGGCGCCGAGCGGCCTCCAGACCCGGCCTCGGACTGTCCTCTCGGGATTCCGCGCCCTGCTGGGCCGGGGGTCGCGCCAGCGACGGTGAAGGGCAGGTACGAGGGGCGTGGGCAGGGTCCCCGCCCCCAATCCGGGGGTCCTGCGCGCGCGCACGATTATGGGGGCTGGGGCAGGGGTGCTGGCGCTCAGTGTGGCCTCTGTGTGGGGTCCAGGCCCAAGTCGTGGGATCCCCTCACCTCGCCATGCACTCTCTGGTGCTCTGAGGCAGGACCCCCGCAAACGCCCTCCTGCCGTGGGGTCCTGAATCCCCACCCTTGGTCTTTTGTGTCTGAGGCGCTCTCCGGACACACCTGTGGCTTCCGGGCCTCAGGGGGTCACCCTTCCCCCCTCTTCCGCTGCCCCAGGCCCTGCCCACACCCACTCCTACCACACTTGGCTCTCGCTGGTGCCTTTGTGTGAGGGGAAGGGTGACTTTGGGCCCTCCATGTACATGGGTGGATCTGGACCTGTCCCTGAAGGCCCCCAACTCTTTTCTGTAAAACTAAGCCCTGTCCAGGAGTCTGGCTTTGGGAATGGGCTGCCCTGCTTCAGATTTGGGGATGCCTTGTGCGGATGAAGAAAGGCAGTTCTGTGTTTGGGGGAAAGGATATTAGAAGTGGGACAGAAAGATAAGTCCAGGGGTGCTCCCCACCTTAACCTCCATCTCCCAGTTGAGTTTGTGGTTCAAAATCGGGGGACATGGGCAGGAAGGGCCCTAGAAACCACCTTAGGAATCCCACCACCTGCCGTGAACCAGGACCTGGGTGATGGACAAATCTGCAGCCTTTGACCCAGTGGTAGGCCGGGTACCCACAAACTGAACCTGACAGGGCGCAGTGGAAAGGCCAGAGGGGCGTGATACAGGCTGGACACACAAGAGGACCACTGAGCTCGCAGGCTAGGGGCCTGGACAGAAGAGCCACAATAAGGCTAGTGCGTTCCCCAGATAATCGAAGTTGGGTCCCAGAATCTGCAAGGCTGGCCCTCCACTCCGTGCCCTTTGGATGTGTTGGGAGGTGATAGCTCTGCCTGGGCTGGGGGAGGGTGCTGCTTCTTCAACTCTCATTAACAACAGGACCCTGAAAGACTCAGCAATGGTAGAAACAGCTGCTCTGGTCCAGTAAAGCTCTACACCCTTGCCTCTCTACTCTTGGGGTACAGTTGTAAACCTACTTATGAAGGGCAAAGCGAGGTGGAAAGTAGGGATGGATACCTGGCATTTGGGCTGCCATCAGGAATGAGTCATACTGTCCACAGATACCCACTCAGTGCCTGCACCCCAAGAAATCAACTCCCTAGTGAGGTGACTGACCCCTAAGCTCCAACCTCTACACAGTGTTCAGAGTGCCACCTTCTGAATACTCCTTCCTTCCTTCCTTCCTTCCTTCCTTCCTTCCCTCCCTCCCTCCCTCCCTCCCTCCCTTCTCTTCCTTCCTTTCTTTTTCCTTCCTTCCTTCCTTCCTTCTTTCTTTCTTTCTCCTTTCTTTTCTCTCTCATTCGTCAAATCAGATCTGACTGGTACAGGAGGAGATTGTCCCTCCTTCTCCATCAGAACATCTGGTGGTTTCAAACCACGCACCTCTGGGATTGTAGTGCAGCGTCTTGCCACTAGGCCCCCAGAGCTTGCCTGACCACTGTTTTCTTACTGATGGAGGAGTGGAGGAACACAGGAGCAAGCCTGGAACTTACTGATTTCTTTCTGGCTCCACAGCCCCTAACCTCCCTGTGCACACCCAGGAGGTGATGTGCATGTGTTTAAAATCCTGAGATCTGAAGCTGGACACACTGGGGTCAACTCCTGGCTCTCCTGGCTGTGTAATCTTGTACAAGTTACTTAACCTTTCTGAGCCTTATTGACTTCCGTAAAATGGGGCAATAGTAGCCCCTCCATCCCAGGATAGGGAGCTCCAGTGGTAAAGAATTGCACAGCCAACCCAAAGGTATGTGGTTCAAATGCATCAGCTGCTCTATGAGGGAAAGATGGGCAGTCTTCTCCCGTGGGATTTACTGCCTCTGAAAACCCACTGGAGGGTCAGCCGTGGGTCCGTTCTGACTACAGCCGGGAGGAGATGACACACTTAAAGCCTTCAGTGTAGGCCCCAGCACTCGGTAACTGTGTTAAAGTGAGCATCAGACGTTTCAGCCATTAGTCCCTGCGTCCCTGGAGCCACTTTCCCTGGTGTTCAGGCCATCCTCTTCTGCATCTGTTAGTTTCTGTAAAGTGGATTCCAACTCAGTCACCCCATGGGTGCAAAGTAAAACTCTGCCTCTGGAGTTTTCGTTGTTGTGAACTTTCAGGACAGGTCACTAGGACTTACTTTTTGGGGGACTTTCCTTTTGTGTTTTTTTTTCCAGTTGTGCTTTGAGTAAAAATTTACTAAGCAGATTGGTTTTCCTCTCAACCAGTCGTACACATTGTGTCCTATGTTGTTGTTATGTGCCCTCAAGTGGAGGATTACTCATCGTGACCCTGTGAACTACAGATCTGAGCCCTGTCCTGTCATCCACCATCCTCATCATCTGACATACTTTGAGTCCATTGCGGCAGTCACAGTGGCAACACCTTAATTAATTACCTTTTACCCAGTGTAATCCCACGTTTCTCACTTCTTTCTTGTAATTCTCATTTCTGTTAATCCCTTTGAGAGAAGTGCAGGTGACCTAGTCCAGAGGGACTTGTGCTGCTAAGTAAAGCCTGTACCTCTCTGGTGGTTTCCATCCACCAGCGACAACATGTCAGAAAGACGGGCAGTGTTTCCCCACTCCATTTACATCCTCAGGAACCCAACAGAGGGCCTGTTATGAGTCAGTTCCAACTCAACAGCAGGGAGGTTTATTAATCCTTTTCTCCTATCCCTTCCTGCCCTCTGGGCTTTCTCCTTGGGGAAATGCTGCTCTTTTGACCTTATATAGTTTGTTATTTTAAAGAGTGAGCACTTTCCTGGTGTTATTAGTCACCTTAGGGCTGTCTATCATCTCCGAGATGGTGAGGGTGGTGGATGATAGGGCAAGGTTCAGATCTGTTGTTCTTGGGAGCACAGTGAATCAGAGTGGACTCCACATACCTAATGACAACAACAGAACAGGCCTGCCTATTGTTTCAGAGTGGGGCCACGGGTGCGTTTTGTTCCAGGTTTGAAGGCTAACTCAGGGCAGAGTCTCAGGGTTTCCACCAGTCTCTGCTGGACCACTAAGCCTGGCTCTTTTTTTTTTTTTAATTTTTTTATTTTTGTGTGAGTGTACCGCCAAATCAGATCTGACTGGTACAGGAGGAGATTGTCCCTCCTTCCCCGGCAGAGCATCTGGTGGATTCGAACTGTGTGCCTCTGGGATTGTAGTTGCAGCTCCTTACCACTAGGCCACCAGCGCTCCCCTAGCCTGGCTCTTTTTATGTTTTGAGTTTTGTTCCACGTTTCCCACCTCACTTTGTCTAGAATTTCTGCTGTGGTAATGTGTGATAGCTGAGCACCATCAAGTTCTTTCTTCGGATCTCCAGGCTACGGTCGAGGCTCAAGTGGATTCGTTGTTTCTGTACATCTTTGCTTTTCTTCCTTCTTCTTTGTTCCTGAAAAGGAACCAGTAGTTGCAGCTTAGTTGATGGTAAGCTTTAAGACCCTGGTCGTTACTAAAGGAAGATGCAGAACATTGCCTTTGTGTACCATGTTATGCCACCTGACCTTGATGTCCTCTGAGACTATGGTCCCAAGGCCTTCGAGGCAGCACCTCATTCCTTCTGGGTGTTTGGTTATGATTGAGAAGCTGGCATAGCAATGCCCCCTATTGGTCATACTGTTTTCTGCCATTGGTCTAAACTAACTCTTCGTGGACCCTCAGCGAGTTTTCAGTGGCTGTAAATCACATGGGATGAGCTTGCCCATCTTCCTCCTGCAGAGACGCTGGCGGATTTGAACCACCTGCCTACGAGTTAGCAGCACAGCTCTTTACCACTAAGCCACCAGCGCTCTTGTCATATGCATAGATATATGTACAGCATATCCTGATGTTGGTGTTGCTATGTTGTTATGTGCCTTCTGGTTGGAACCAACTCATAGTTGATCCTACTAGTGGGTTTTCAGAAGGTATAAATTGGATGGGAAAATTTCCCATCTCTCTCCTGAGGAGCAGTTGGTAGATTTGAACCACTTGCCTTTGGGCTAGGAGCACAGCTCCTTACTCACTAGGTCACCAGAGCTCCCTGTATATATACTAATATAAATGTCAAAATGTCATCTGCTAGATCTCTGTGTTCATGAATGTAGTCCTTTTCACCTGCCCATATCTGTTCCTCTTGGTTATATGTCTCTGGATGTGTCCAGACTACTCACTCCTCATCTTGTAGTTGAGGATTTAACCATTCGATCCTCTTGAAAATCTGTATGAGACTCTCCCCAGCCAGAAGCATTTAAAAATCCTTCTCCACTGCCCTCATTAATCCCGTAGATAATTATTGGGCAGCCAGGCTGGCTGGGTCTGGCAGTAAATGGGCCTAAAATTGTTATCTTTGCAGATAATGTGTGGAGGAAACAGTAAGATACATAGTGTTAGATGGTCGGAAGTAAGTGCTGAGGAGAGCAGAGGAAGCGGGGGATGGGGCGGTAAGAAGCAGGGAGAATTGAGACTTAATAAGACTAAGAAGGTGACCTTTTGAGAATGATTTTTGTTGTGTCTGTTGTGTTGAAACAGCAGACCATACAGCAGCCGTTTCTTCGTGTACAGTTGGGTGACAGTGATGGCATTCTTCAAGTTGTACAAATACCCTCACTTTCTGTCCTCTCATTATTCCTCCCCCATTAACAGAAGCCCACTGACTCTGAGGTTCCAGAGCTACAGGAAGGGAGAGGATGAGGGAGCTAGACTTCTCGATGCTTGAGAGAAAAGCATTTGTGGCAGAGGGTGCAAAGTGGATGCCAAGGCTCAGAGGCTCCCCAGGGAGCTTGCCAGAGAACAGCCCGGAGTGGAGAGGAGTGAGGCAGCAAGGAGTGGAAGTGTAGAAGTCCAGAAGTATTCGTACTTACATTTTGGCTTTTTCTCAGAGTGAGAGGAGAGAGAGAGAGGC